GAGTGGAGCTCAGGGCATGGGAGCAATCAGGGGAGAAAGGGTTGAGACAGGGGAAAGGGGCAGGGGAAATATGCACCACTGCAGGATGACTCCGACAAAACATGTCACGGCCTGCTCTCTGGTGATGGTCTTGTCTCCACGGATTCGGACTGGCGCAAACACAGCGCCTCTGAAGGTGACCCGACACCGCCGCCGCGCCAACGGCTCCGTTGACGGAAGCTCGGCGGCAGGTCGGCGGAAGTCTGGCCGCGTTAGTGGACGCGCCCGAAGTCTGGGTCATCATGGTAACATCAATGTCATCATCGTCATCTTGACTTGTTCATGGCATTGTCTGATCACCATCGTGATGTCATCCTCGTCCTCAGCATCATCCGCAGCCATTTGTGCTGGCAGCCTCCCGTGTGTTTGGGCAACGACCACATCAGGCTTGGTCCTGGTGAAAGCGTTGTCATGGTCCCGTGGTCCCATGTGTCGAGTGGAGGGCGGGAGTGCCCACGCTGTCCCCCTTGCCGTCGCGCTACGGCGGCTCGGCCTGACGCCGCGGCTGCCGCGGCCGACGGCGCCGATGGGGCCAGCGCGCAGGCTGCGGCCTTGGGCCGCCTGCGCGAGGACTGCGAGAACGAGAGTGGGGGAAGGTGGAGATGGAGTTGGACGAGAAGGAAGAGGGAGGAAGAGGATGGCGATGATGGTGGCGAGGATGGCGAGCAAGAAGGGGAGTGAAGAGGACGAGGGCGAAGAGGAGGATGCACGAGAGGAGGAGGATGAGCAGGAGGATGCACACGAGGAGGAGGAGTGATGGGTCTTTTATATAGGAGCTGGCGTGGGAGCGGCAGCTGACAGGCCGCTACGGGAGAGGCTGCTTCAGTGCGTGCATATGGCCAGTGCGCTGCTCAGCGGTGCTCGCGGCCAGGGCTACTACGGTGGCGAGGGCTACGACAACGGCAAGGGCTACTACGGTGGCAAGGGCTACGACGACGGCAAGGGCTACTACGACGGCGGCAAGGGCTACTACGACGGCAAGGGCTACTACGGTGGCACGGGCTACTGCGACGACGGTGGCAAGGGCTACGACGGCAAGGGCTACGACGACAGCGGCAAGGGCCGCGACAAAGGCGACGACGACAGCGGCAAGGGCCGCGACAAGGCCTACGACAGCGGCAAGGGCCGCGACAAAGGCGCCCGCTACGGCAGGTGCTACTACGCCCGCGACGGCTCGTGGTACTACTACGACGCCCGCTGCGGCTTGTGGTGCCACTCGAGCGACGATGCCGACGCCGGCACGGACAGCGACAGTAGCAAGGGCCACGACGATGGCACGGGCAGCGACGCGGGCTACGACAGCGGCAAGGGCAGCTCGAGGAAGGGCTTCGACAAGGGCTACGACGGCAGCAATGGCAGCGACAGTGGCTACGACCCGTACGGCAGCTCGAGCAAGGGCTACGACGGCAAGGGCTACGACGGCAAGGGCCACAACAAAGGCTACGACGAGGAGTTCATGGACCAGGACGACGATGGCGAGAGCGACTACGACGGTGGCACGGGCTACCACGACCGTGGCACGGGCAGCAAGGGCCACCTCGGTGACAAGGAGCAGCAGAGCGGGCCACGCGACAGTAACACTGGCTACGACGGCGGCAAGGGCAACTACGACGAAGGCACGGGCTACGAGAGCTGCAAGAGCGACGACGACGGTGGCGACCTCGACGGCGAAGCTGCCACCGACGCGGACAACGACGGATGCATGACCATCGGCAGCAGCACGAAGGGCCGCGCGATCACCACGGGGGACGCCGATGTGCTAAACAGCGGCATGCCTGACGGCGGCCCGCGGCGTGCGCCAACAAAATGGCGAGGCACCTTCGGGCCGCGGCCTCAAGAGGCTTGGCCATCTGGAAGCTGGATCCGGAGGCTATGGCGTTTGCGTCGTTTTCGGACGCCGGGGGAGTTGGAGCCAGCGAGGGCCGACAGGACGCCAAGGAGCTCCTCGAGGGCCCCACGCAGGGTGCCTGGGTGATCCTGGCCACGGACCGTAGCGCGATAGATAACCGTGCCGTCAGGGCCTCTATACTTGCCCGGCGTAGCTCTAAGCTCCGGCGCAAAGTCGCATCGACCTTGGCCAGAGAGACACAGGCCCTGACTGCCGCGGTGGCAGAGGTGGAATTTCTACAAGTTTATACCGAGACGTCATATTTCGAGACGTAGATGTTTCGGATCAGTGCCGAGGGTCCGGGCCTTTTACAAACGTTTTACGAAGGATTTTCTTTAGGAAGACGAGAGGAACAGGTACAGGTAGTAGATGCTAAGAGCATATATGACTCTATGCTAAGAGAGGGCAATGCAAGCGCTCGAGATAGACGTAGTGCTCTCGATTTGGCTGTGATTTGTGAAGCCTTAGAGCACGCTCGTGGGCATGCGCGCTGGATTCTCCATGGGAGAATGGCGGTCGACAGTATGACTAAGGATGACATTTCAAAAAGAAACGCAACTCCATCCAATCTACTTGCCAGTGGAAATATTGTTCTGGTTGACGAAGATAACGAGATGGCACTGCGCAGAGACAAGCCCGGCCAGAAGGACCGGTCTCAATCTGCCTCCAAGAGGATTCTAGACAACGACGACCGACTGGTGGGCTGGCAGGAGTTTGTGCTTCCCGCCGACAGTGTTCGTTCCGAGGTGCTCAGCAGGATGGACCACTCGAGTCTTTCTCTCTCCTCCCTCTCCCCTTTTCCCTAACCGTCCGGTGGGCCGGCGGCCGGACGTCTGCCTTGTTTGTACAGGTACTGTTTGATTTTTTGGGATTGCTAAACCTAAGAGAAAGCCTGACCAGTGTGGCTGCAGTCTTGATTTTGCGAGATAGGTTTAGCAGAGAGATCCCCTAGAGGGGAACAGTGGAGCAAAGAGCGAAAGGACGTTCATTCGTCCTCATCCTGGCTCAAGGTCAAAACACCTGCTTGCTCCTGCTGCTGCTACATCTTGGGCCGTCTTGGGGCCCTCTTGGGGGCCTCTTGGACCGTCTTGGGGCGGCCTAGGGGGCCTCTTTGGCCGTCTTGGGGTGTCGGGAAGCCGAAAAGGTGGAAACGGCAAAACCTTTCCAAAACCAAAGGATCAGCAATGACTGTTGCCTCTTGGGGCCCTCTTGAGAGTGTTTTTTCTTGGAGGCCTCTTGGGCCGTCTGGGGCCATCTTCGGCGTTTTGGAGCGATCTCGTGGCATCTCGGAGCTCTCTTGTATCATCTTGAGGGTTTTTTGGCGGCCTATTGGCCTTTCTTGGGGCTCTCTGGACGGCCTCGAGGGCGTCGCCCAGGAGGAAAACCATCTCTGATCCGAGTCTCCCGGGACCTGCCCAGGGTACTTTTCGTCCGGGGACCCCCTGGGGCCGCCCCGCGCGCGCGAAGTGGAGATCTTAGCACGTGTTGCGTTCGCCGCTGCATCAGCCTGATTATTTCTACATTCGTGCGCTCTTTGATCGGCTGTCAAGTCAGGGTTGTCAGGAACATGCGCCTTGATTTTGACCACCTCACCCGCTCTGGCCGCCAGTGCTTGGAGCATGTATCCGGCGCAATGACGACGATAAGATAGCCTAGCCTGGATCGGTCCCTGGCCCTATCACTAAGCATGTGATGTGATTATTTGTTCGGGCCCTCGCACCCCCCCCCATGGAGTAGATCTCGGTTGTGTGTTGGCGCATGTTTCAAGCAGGTGGAGTCTCCCCCAAAGGGACGCACGGTTCCAAACAGTCGCACTAAGCAGAGGTCTAGGGCCAGACCCCCGCCCCCCATCCCCCCTCATTTCCGCCCTGAGCGGCCACTCTGCGCGGCCAGGCAGTAGGCAACGAACCCAGCCGCGTGGGGGGTCTGAGGGAAGTGGCCCAGGAGAAGGATTGCAACAAAAAACCTTTTTTGCAATCCTTCTTGCAATCCTGGGTTTTTTTGTAATCCTTCGTTTTTTTGCAATCCTTGGTTTTTTTGCAATCCTTCGTTGCAATCCTTCGTACATTGCACATTCCGAGAGGGTGAGACGGGGACCACGGCCCACCCTGCCCTGGAGGTGTCATGCGAGACGCTTTCGAGACGGGAACCCTCAACGTACAGCTTCCCCTGGGGCGCCGTAGACGTGGGCGTGGGATCCCCGGCCCACTGAACCTGGAAACCCGATTCGGGCCCGTCGAGGAGACGCAGGTCGGCCTCGGAAAGGTACCCCCAGGATGCATGGGAAACCCGCGGTTGAACTGGAGGTAATCGCAGGGTCGCGTTCCGCTGTGAGGTCCTGGGAGGTGGGGGAGCGATGGCACGGCCAAGGGTCTCGCGTCGTTTGACGTTGCCCCACTCGTGATCAGAAACCCCATGGGCCTCCAAAGGTCTCGCGGCAGAAATCTTCCTGGCGCGCGCCCCCGAAAGTTTGCGCATTCCGCCGCCTCTCGCTTTCGCTGCAGGGATGAGCGCGCCAGCCTTGAAACTTCTACAATTTTTTGGGGGCCCGCCCGAGCCTTCCCGACATGGAGTCAGCCCCGAGGTTGGCTGCAGAAGAAATGACATCTGTACCTGCCAGAGCACCGAGCTTCTTCCTAAGTGCTTTGGCCACGGCCATGCGAGAGGCGACAAGCTCGGCTTTGTCGATGGAGTTAATGGCGCCGAGGTCAGCGTCGATGACGACACACAGGCTTTCTGCAGCAGCGGCAAGATCATGCGCCACTTCAGAGGTCCGCCCTGCAGTCGCTAGGCCGCGTCGCCAATGTGAACATACTCTGTGGTGGATTGGAAACTTCCTGGGGTTCCCGTTTGCGCACCTTGAGGTCTTCTTTGGGGCTGCTGGGTGTCTCTGGCGGCAGCGCTGGGCCATCTTGACGGCCCTGCTTGGCGCCAGGGAGATGTGGGGGCCGCGCAAGAGGCCTCGGGAGGGGGTGGGCTTCCCTTTGCTCCTACTCCCCCTCGTCCTCGTTGCCCACAATGGCTGCATGCACCCCTCGGCATCTAGGACGTCGTGCTCCTCTCGAAGAGGCGGATGAACGGGGGCTTCGTGGAGGACGAGACCGAGACCGAGGTCAGCTCACCCCGACCCTCAGAAGGATAACCATGAGGAGGGGGACGGATGCTGATGATGATGATGCTGATGCTGATGCTGCTGCTGCTGATGCTGATGCTGATGCTGATGAGGAGGAGGAGGATGAGGAAGAGGATGATGCTGATGCTGATGATGGTCATGGTGATGGTCATGGGGAGGAATATGATGGTGATGGTGATGGTGATGGCGATGATGATGACGATGATGATGATGATGGTGATGTTGATGGTGATGGTCATGGTCATGATGCTGATGCTGATGGTGTGATGATGCTGTGACGCTGATGCTGATGCTGCTGATGCTGATGATGATGCTGATGATGGTAGTGGTGTTGGTGATGATGATGACGATGATTTTCATGATGATAGTCATGATGATGATGGAGAGGCTGCTGTTGATGATGATGATGGAGATGCGGATGTTGATGGTGAAGATGATGATGCTGATGATGATGAGGACGATGGTGATGGTGATGGTGTTGACGATGTTGCTGATCATTTTTATGATGACGATGCTGCTGATGATTATGAGGATGATGATGGTCATGCCGGTGGTGGTGATGGTGACGATGATGGTGATGGCGGTGATGAGGATTATGATGGTGATGTTGATGATAATGGTGGTTGTGGTTGTGGTAATGATGCTGTTGATGGCGGTGGTGACGGTGGGGATGCTAATGATGATGATCGTGATGATGGTGATGATGATGATGATGATGCTGTTGATGGTGGTCATGACGATTATGCTGATGGTGGTGGTGGTGATGGTTATGATGATGTTGATGATGGCGATGGAGGTAATGATGACAAGATGAGGATGATGATTATGACACTGATGATGATGCTGATTATGTTACTGATGATGTTGCTGGCGATGATGACGATGATGCTATTTATGCTGGTAGTGGTGGTGATGATTTTGATGGCGTTGATAATGACGTTAATGATGATGGTGGGGATGGAGTCTGTGATGGTGGCGGTGATGACGATGACGATGGCGATAATGACGATGCTGCTGCTGATGATGTTGACGATGATGACGATGCTCATGATGATCATAATGCTGGTGATCATGATGATGATGATGATGATGATACTGATAATGGTAGTTGTGGTGGTGGTCATGGTAATGATGGTGATGATGACGGTGATCTCGATGATGATGGTGATGATGATGGTGACGGGGATGTTGATGATGATGTTTATTGTGCGGATGAGGGTGATGATCATGAGAGCGATGATGATGGTGGCGATTGTGGTGGTGGTGTGCTGATGATGACGAGCATGATCATGGTGGTGGTGATTGTGATCATCACGATGCTGATGCTCATGGTGATGATGATGATGATGAGGATGATGATGATGATAAGGAAGATGCTGACGACGGCACTGATGATGGTGATGATGATGAGGATGGTGACGATGCCGACGACGAAGATGTGGTGGTGATGGTCCTGCTGGAGGTGGTGATGATGATGGTGGTGTCGCTGAGGATGGTGATGAAGATGATGATGTCGACGATAATGATGACGGTGGTGGGGCTTGTGATGATGATGATGATGATGATGATGATGATGGCGATGATGATGATCGCGGTGATGATGAGGATGATGATGGTCGTGATGGTGACGGTGGCGATGATGACGGTGGCGATGATGACAATGATAACGATGGTGTTGGTCAAGGTGATGGTGATGATCATGGTGATGAAGGTGTTGCTGATGATGGTGCTGGTTGTTGTGATGGCGATGAGGATGGTAATGTGGTGGTGGTGATGATGACGATGGTTATGCTGGTGTTGGTGGCGATGATCGTGATTGTGATGATGGTGATGTTAGTGATGAAATGGGTGCTAGCCACCGCGCGCTCGAGCGATTTCCAGGAAGGGGGCGTGGGCGAGGACGGCGGCAATTGGATGCCATGTGCATCGCGAGCTTCCGCTTGAGGCGGAAGTGAGGCGGGCGTGGCGGAGGCCATGGCGCCGTCCAACTTGCTGCGGCTGGTCAGCTTCAACCCCCTCTTCGCGTCCACGGCGGCGCGCCAGTCGGAGCTGGCCCTCGCAGCTCCCGCGGCGGGCGCGCTGATCCTGGCGGGCGCCAAGGCGGCGTGCCGATGCGGGGGAAGCGCCCTGCGGCAACGAGTGGAAGGGCGCCTGCTGGTGGAAGCAGGTCTCGAACCAGGACCGCGCGCGAATCGACGCGGGCTGTGTCATCTTCCTAGGAAGAGGGAAGCAGGAACGACACATCCGGAGAACGTGGCCCTCACCACCCGGAGCGGGAGGACGTGCACTCGCGCTGCGGATCAACATGGGCTTCATGGACGCGGTGCATGGCGCGATGTACTTCCCGGTGCAGCCGACGGATGCGAAGAAGCTGGGAGCGTATAAGCAGGGCGTCAAGCATATCCCCAGCTGGTGGAAGGCGATCCTACAGGAGATTCCGCAGAGAACATGACCGTGCTTCTTCGCAGACACGAACGACGGGATCGGCATTGCCAAGATGGACGGAGCATGGCAGGTCACGCACTCAGGTGGACTGTGGGGAGCAGCGACACGAGAGCGACGAAGAGGTGGAGCGGGGGAACTTATACGGCAAATGCTGGATGAGCAGTGCATGGCAGCACCAGCAACGTTCAACGACAAACTGGAGCCAACGTACTGCGCGAGCGGACGAGATGGGCGACTCGGAGGGCACAGCACGATCGATTACTTCTACGTGCCCCAGGGCTACCTGGATCGGGTCGAGAAGGTGCACGTGCTGAAGGGCATGCATGGGAGCGAGAGCACAGGCAGTAAATGGCGTACCTCCGAGGGGCCACATGCCGATGCCGATGGATATCCGCTACCAGAAACGCACGAGAGAGGCCCCCCCCCCCCCCCCGGACAGCGACAACGTGAAGTGCGACATGAATGCAATGATGAATGCCGTGGCCCATGGAAGAGGCAAAGCCGAGTTTCTCTTTGAGCTGGCGCAGAAGCTGGGGGGCGCGAGGGGCAGTTCAGGGAATGCGCGGAAGATGGGGCGCCAGACAACTACTTCGAGCTGCTGGGGCGGATCGCGGTGGAGGTCGGAGGGAGACACTTCGCGCCAGCGGCTAGCAGGCGGGACTACCGTGGACAGAACGCAGAACGGCGCGAACTCCTTCGGCAACGGGCGGAGCTGCGGGAACGCAGGAAGACGATCAAGAGGATGACGAGGACGTCGACCACCAGCTTCGGGACATCGGGGGCCAGCTGAAAGCGCTCTCGGCCAGGCTGCAGGCGCGCGGGCGACGGGCGGCCAGAGAGTAGAAGGAATAGTACGTTACCAAGGTGGAGGAGGGCAGAGGAGGTTCGCGGGGGCGACGCAGTATTCGCGACCTGCGGCGCGGTGTCAATTTGGTGCTAAACATCGAGAAAGAGGGAGGTTTGGACCCTCACCGCTGGAGCGAGACGAGTGGACGCAGCTGCGGAGCAGGCCCGGGCGAGAAGGGGGAGCAGGAGTTGCGGATCTGGATTGGGGCCAATGGCGAGAACGACGGCGAGGACTGGGAGCTCCGCCGCAGGCGACGGAGGAGTTGAGCGAACTCGCCAACAAGGGCGCGGGGAGCATTGCGCGATACGTCCGCAAGGCGCCGAAGAGGAAGGTGGTTCCGCCTGGGACATCCCCCATTGAGCTGTGGGGCCTCGCCCTAAACGCGCGGGCGGAGATTGCAAAGGAGCAGCGCGGCGCGGGCTTCGGGGAGGGGCAGGGCGACCAGGTGCTCCTCAGGAACGTGCTCTCCACGGGCTGCTGCCGATCCGCCGGGCAAACTTAGCCCCGCTGTGCTGGCGCAGGAGCAAGGCGGTGGGATTAGGCAAGCAGAGCAGAAAGGTGGCGGCGGCGGGGCGACGAGCTATCCAGCGTCTACCAAGCCTGGGCAAGGCTTTTTAATCTAGACGGCTCACTTCGCGACTACTTCCCATGAGCTGCGGCTTCGCGAAGGGCGGGAGGGGGGAAGGCGCCATTTTGACATCTCAAGTGCTCGGCTGAAGGCTTGCTTGCGGAGGATGGAGCTTCGCGGTGACCACGGATGATCGGCAGAACGCCTTCGGGTCGGTGAGCTGGGGGGCGCTGGACAGGGCAGCGGAGCAGAACGCGGGCGGGCAGGGTGAGGAGCTGTGCAAGCAGAGGCGCAGGAACACGGCGGTGGACTTGCCGACCCCAGAGGGGGGCCATTCGGTCAAGATCGGTGACGGGCTCATGATGGGGTGCCCTTCAGCGTCGACGCATTCTCTCCGCGGCCACTGTGGAGCCGGCGCAGAAGTGGTCGTGGCGCCTCCGAGAACTACGCCCAGAAGCCAACCTGTTGATGTGCGGGTGGGAGGACATGCCAGACATTGTCCTGGGCATTCACCAGTGCTCGGACGACCTCAGTCGACGCCACCTGCTGGCCATCGGGGCGACGATGAAGGACGCGGTGAAGATCCTCAGGCAGGCGGGCGATGCGCTGGACAGGGAACTGGCTGCGGTGGGAATGCGACAGAACAGGGAGAAACAGGTGACGAGCGTCTTGATCCAAGGAAGTGGCTCGACGGCGTGCACGAGATGGCCGAAGGGGCATGGCAGGGGCGCGGGCGGGATTCAGGGGGGCTGAACGACGACGCTGGGCACCTGGGCCCCCGCATCTCCCCGAAGGGCTCTGCCGAGTTTGAGATGCCTCGCAGGTGCCAGGCGGCTAAGACGGCGTTCTACGCGATGGGGGCCTATCTGGAGTTTAGCTACGCCGTGGGGGTGGAAGAGGGCGGTATTCCTCGGTTCGGTGGTGGGGGCAATACTCTCTGGAGTGGAGTGCTTTATCTTGTCGGAGGCGCAGCGCAGGAGGCTGGACTTGCGTCTGGCAAAGCTCGGGCGAATCGCCATGGCGGGGAGGGCGACAAAGTGGCGCGAGGACGGGGTCGAGAGCTTGACCGCGGAGCAGGCGCTAGCCCACTGGCGCGCAAGCGACACGAAGACCGAGTTGCTTGTCAGGAGGCTGAAGAGGTACCAGAGCTGGGCTCGGCGACCATGGCATCATGCTCAACTGCTGTCAACCCTGTTTGCTCATCTACCTGGAGTTCGCGCCGAGCCTCCGCGCGCGGAGGAGGGCCTGTCGGAGTCAGCATCACCATGGGCTAGGCGCGCGGGGGGGGCCGTCTTAGCGGCGGTCAGCTCCATGGGGGGCGAGGCCGACGCGCTGCGCGAGCTGGGAAAGGCACCGTGGAAGCTGGAAGCGGACCGGGACTTGGCGAAGCAGTTCCTGCGGATGGACTTCGCGAAGGTGAGGGCCAAGCAGTGCACCGCGCGCGCACCACCTACGAGCACGCGCGCGTCGCCACAGGACGAGCGGCTGGGGCAGGCGCTGTAGCAGGAGGAGGACCCCATCAGGGACATCTACGCGTGCGGGATTGAACTGGGTGATGGCAGCAGGTGTAAGGCTCGTTTTGCTACGCGACGCCAGTTGCTTCATCGCCAGCGCAGCGCATCAGATCAGAAACTTGTGTCGAATCTGGACAACAAGTAACCGGTGCATCGTGCATTCTCGGGTCTTCGCGGGGCAGGTGACAGTGGCCAAACACTTCGAACGAAGTCTGCAAAGGGGGTGGTGCGGAAAGTACAGCAGTCAAGTTATTAGGCAACTGAAGATCCCGCGTTTTGTCTCCTGCGATCTGCGCGGGTGCGAGGGGGCCACTTGGGGTGGCTTCAGGAGGCGCGCGGGCTCAAGCCATCTCCCGTGGAGCATCACTGCAGAAAAGCTCGGCAGGCAGAGCGATGGCCGACTTGGGGGGGCCAGAGATGCCCAGGTGGACGAAGCGCGGCGCGGGGGAGACGGAAGCCCCTGGATCGGGCAAACCGTCAGGGCAAGAGACGGGGGCAGCAGGATACCGAAGGCGGCAGCGGAGGAGACAAGGGCAACCACAGCGGCGTCGAGGACCAGCGCAGGGCGCCGGCGAAGCTCTCCAGGGCAACGGCCAGGCGGGGGTCGGCGCTGGAGGCGTGCTTCTACGACAGCGCGGCGGTCAGCGAGGCCGAGGGCGCGCCGGGCGCCGAGCTCGCGAAGGGAGGGCTGGGGTACGACAAGGAGGGCAGGGAGATGAAGGCGAAGCAGGTCAATGGCGACGACGTGGGCTTCAAGGAGAAAGGGGGCCCGCGCAGCAGACTGCAGCTGACTGCGGAGAAGGCGAAGTACGAGAACCCGACGATGCACAAGTTTCAGGCGCAGTACTGGAAGAAGTGCTAGCAGGTGCTGAACAAGGAGAGGAAGTACGGGGCGCTGTCGATGGCCCACAGCAGAGTCGCAATGGGCGACTCTACGGGCAAGGCGACCTGGACGTTCGCGAAGGGCCCGGAGGCGGACACGGAGTAGACGGGCGCGGCCCCTCGCGGGCCGCTCGAACGCGGAGCGCCCAGGTGCCTGGCCGCCGCGACGAGGGGGGGAAGTGGGTCTCCGCGGAGGCCTCCGAGAAAGCGCGAGGCATCAGGCCTTGATTGAGAGGGGCGCTGCGACAGCGGATGCGCCGGCTGGAAGGGGAAGCGCGCTACAGACCTACATGTCGCCCCTGCTGATCCAGATCCCAGTTGCAGTGCTGCCGAGGGCAAATTCGGTCGTCAACTAAGGGCGGGGGCAGAGGGGGCCGCGGTCGCGGCGCGGCGGCGCGGTGGGGGGGGGGGGGGGGGCAAAACGGAAAAAGCGGCCAGCGGAGTAGAGTGAGAGCGCGCCGCCCTCCCGGAGGCCCCCGCGCTGACGGGCGCCCCCGGGTCGGCGCGGAGGCCTTCGGGAAAGCGATTTGTTCTCGTGGAAGGGGGCGGCCCTCCGAAGCGGGGCCCCCGCCTGGCTGCGCGCCGACTGGGGTGGGCCGCCCTGCGCGGAGGCAGCGCGGGCCTGGTCCCGGGGGGCCAGGGCCTCAGGTGCATGCATCCGCTCTTCGCTCGCGCGATGCTCCGAGGCCCGCGTTTGCATCTTTATAGCGTTGCGCAGACCGCCTCCCATGGAGCCATTGATTGATTGATTGATGAAAGGGGTGTTTGTGTTTGCGATGATGAGGGCGGTGGCCATGAAGATGATGATGGCGACGGCGGGGATGGCGATGATGAAGATGATGATAATGATGATCGTGATAATATTTATGTCGATGATGATAGTAATGGTGATTGCTGATGGTGGGGATGATTGGTTGTGATGGTGATAGTGGTGATGATGGTGGTGATGATACGTTTTTGTTGTTGTGGTGGTGATGGTGTTGATCGTGATGCCGATGCTACTGAATGCGATAGGGAAATTCATCGTGCTGCTGATGATGCTCAGGGTGCGGCTGAGGATGATGATCGCGTTGCGGATCATGATGACGATGGCGGTGGTGGTGGTGAGAATGCGGACGAGGACGAGGAAGGTGATGACGATGCTGATGATGTTGATGGTGATGATGGTGATGATGATTATATTGAGGTTGAGGTTCATGCTGATGACGACCAGGGTTGTGATGACGTCGACTGGTGGTGATGATGAAGCGGATGTTGATTATTCGTAGTGGTGTTGACGGTGGGGGTGGTGATGATAATGGTAGTGCTGGTTGTTACGTAGCACCCCGCAGTTGCGGATAAGAGTGAGGGGGCGGGCGCGGGCGACGCGGACGTCGTCGAGCCGGCGGACCTCGTGGCCCCCACCTTCCCTGTCGATGGCGCGCTCCTCCTCCTCCTCGTCCTCCTCCTCCTCCTCTTCCTCGTCCTCGTCGTCATCGTCATCCTTCTCCTCCACCTCGTCCTCCTCTTCTTCCTCGTCCTCCCTCTCCCCCCCTCGTCCTGCCATCATCGTCCTCCCATTGTCGTCCACCCCCTCATCGGCCTCCATCATCGTCCTCCGATTGTCGTCCATCATCATCCTCCTCCCCCTCCTCCCCCTCCTCCCCCTCGTCCTCCTCCTCCCCCGCCCCCCCCCTCCTCGTCCTCCTGCTGCTCCTCCTCCTCCTCCTCCTCCTCCTCCTCCTTCTCCTCTTTCTCCACATTCTCCTTGCATCCTCTCTTCTTTCGCGTCCTCCTCGCCCCCTGTTTACTCCTCCTGCCTCCCCCTCCTTTCCCAAGATAACGGCAACGCAAGCATTTTTCCATTTTATGCCTCCCGATTTCTCTGATCAAGGCAACTCGCCAGGGCAAAGTTGCTGGGCGGGCTGGCGTGGATGCGCGGGGCTTGAAGAGGTCGTTGCGGGCGCAGACGGCATGCAAAAATCCGCCGCCGCGCTTGTGCGGCATTGGTTTGTTCAGTGAACGTGGCTTGGGTCGCGGGTGGGTCGCGGGGTCTCCACCTCCACCTGGAAGGAATTCAAAAGCAGCCCGCCGCAGGCGCCGAACACATTGGTTTGTACAGTGAACGTGGAATGGGTCGCGGGTGGGCCGCGGGTTTTCCACCGGGGGCGAATGCAAAAGATGCCCGCCGCAGGCGCCGCAAAAAATTCTAGACGCTTCGCGTATCCCCACCAGCCCGTCCAGAAACGACGCCCAGGCGAGTAGAGGGTCGTCCTGAGGGGCGTTTCGGCGTCTTGGGTGCCTCGGGGGGGCCTCTTTGGGCCGTTTGGGATCCTCTTGGGGGCCTCCTGGGGGCCTCTTGGGGCCATCTTGGGGCCTCTTGGGGCCTCCTGGGCGCTTCTTGGGGCCATCTTGGAGGAAATCGATCAAAGAAGAGGGGAGCTTCAATTAGCGCTGCCCCCATCAGAAGGCCAAAATGGGGCCAAAACCTTTTGTAAAATCCGTGATTTTGGCTTCGTCGGCGAGGCCGTTTGGACGCTCTGACCGCTCCCCGCCCCCCCTGTCCAGGTCAGTGGGGAGGGGGTAGGGGGAGGGGTAGACCCCTCCCCGAAGGGGAAAAAGGAGGGGTGGGAGAGGAAACTCGTCAAACCACCGACGCCCTAAAGGGCTGGTGGGATTAGTATGTACCCTGATCGTGGTCGCGGGTGGGCTTCGGGCTCTCCACCTGCAACGAATGCAAAAGATGCCCGCCGCAGGCGCCGAAAAATGTGGTTTGTACCCTGAACGCGGTTTGGGTCGCGAGTTGGTCGCGGGGTGGGTCGCGGGCTCTCCACCTGGAAGGAATGCGAAAGAAAACCCGCCGCAGGCGCCGAATGCACCTTGAACGTGGTTTGGGTCGAAGGTGGGTCGCGGGTGGGTCGCGGGGTGGGTCGCGGGTGGGTCGCGGGTGGGTCGCGGGTGGGTCGCGGGTGGGCCGCGGGTGGGCCGCGGGCGGGTCGCGGGGTGGGTCGCGGGTGGGTCGCGGGTGGGTCGTGGGGTGGGTCGTGGGGTGGGTCGCGGGGTGGGTCGCGGGTGGGTCGCGGGTGGGTCGCGGTCGCGGGGTGGGTCGCGGGGTGGGTCGCGGGTGGGTCGCGGGTGGGTCGCGGGCGGGTCGCGGGGTGGGGGGCGGGGGTTGGGTCGCGGGTGGGTCGCGGGGCGGGTTGCGGGTGGGACGACGACAACAAACAACAAACAACAACAAACAACAACAAACAACAACAACGAGACTCCGCGCCGCGAAATCCCACTTTAGCCACGCACCCAGGGACAGTGAATGACCGTTCGGCCCCCTCACTCTGATGATGATAGCGGTGATTAGTGTAAGGACGACTATGGTAATCGTGCTGATGCGGATGATGGTGTTTGCGGTGCTGATGGCGACGACAATGTCCACGTCGACGACGAGGATGCTGCTGCCGATGGTGATGATGATCAGGAGGAGGAGGAGGAGGAGGAGGAGGAGGAGGAGGAGGAGGAGGAGGAGGAGGAGGATGATGATGATGATGAGGATGGCCGCGATGATGACGAAAATAAGGGGAAGGACGGTGGTGGTGGTAAGGTGATGATCATGGTGATGATGGTGATCGTCATCGTGATGATTGCGATGATGGTGATTATGCTTGTGATGGTACTGATGACGGTGATGCTGGTGCTGATGCTGATTATGCTGCTGGTGGTACTGCGCATGGTGGCGACGTGGAGGAGCCAGAGGGGGAGGAGGAGGAGGAGGAGGAGGAGGAGGAGGAGGAGGGGAGGAGGAGGAGGAGGAGGAGGAGGAGGAGGAGGGAGGAGGAGGGGGGAGGGGGGAGGAGGGGCAGGAGGAGGGGCAAGAGGAGGAGGAAGACGAGGAGAAGAGGGAGGAGGAGGAGGACAAGGCGCGGACGACGAGGAGGGCGAAGAGATGGGCCGTCGGGGACGAGGTTCAGGAGGCGGAGGAGGCGGGAGCGGAGAAGGGGTGGGAGGTAGCATCGGAGGAATGGACTGAGGGGGGGGGGAACGCAGGCGATTTAGGTCTCTTCTCTTGTTATGATTGAAAGGCGGCGTCTTCTCTCGTTTCCCTTTCCGCTCCATCAGTGGGAT